GAGAGAGAGAGAGAGAGAGAGAGAGAGAGACGCAGGAGAAAGAGAGAAACTGAACAGGATGACAGATGACGTTAGTGATGATTCGGGATATTAAATGTTGATGATAGACGGTGACGATTTCGAATTGTCGATTTCTCCGATCGCGCGTCGCGCAAAAAGTGCAACGGTACATCAACGGTTGGACACGACTGCCGCGTTCGATCATGGATCGAAATTGGGGGGCGCGATCCCCGTCGTGTTGAGCCCGCAGTGAGATGACGGTTTCGGAGAGAGAGTGATCATGAAAATCAACGTGAACGAGGAGCGGGCACGACTGATCATCGATCACGAAAGGCGGGAGATCCGCCGCGGTGGCTGATAGCGAGGCGCGTGACGAGCCGTCCGCCTCCGTCTGCGAAGTAAGTGAAATCACGACGTCCCGACCGGGGGGTGCGTGCTTGAGCGACGAAGGGCGGCTACTGGCCGATGGGATGCATCTACCGGTGGGTTCCGTGGGCTGCGGGGAGAATTACGGCACCGTTGGATCCCACGAAGGCGCCGGCCCGTGTGGTCCCTCCCTGGCGCCGCTGCAAGGTGTAAACAACAGATACCACCAGGTAGACGACGCCGACGCCGGAGGTGGAGGCGGCGAAATGAGCGAGAGTGCCGCCGTCGGCGAACTTTGGTGGACCGAAAGGCTCGTCGGCGAGGCGCAGGCCGAACATCCCGGAGAACTCGTCAGGACAGGTTGGTAACTCGCTAATGATGTCAGTTAAAGGAGGAAAAAAAATAAATGGGAAATAACGAAGAAGCGGAAGAAGCCCTCCTTTTTCCCTCCACTTTGATTTCTATTTCTTATTTTTAATTAAATTAAATATTAGATATCTTCATGTACATGCAGCATGCGATATCGAAGTCAGCTGTTAATTAATTAAATTAGACGTTAAATTGATTTGTGTGTACGAAGAAAAATGTTTGTTTCAGGATCGCCATACTTTCTGTGCAGTCAATTACCGACGCACTGGCGGTCCAACAAAACGCTTCCAGTGGCATTTAAAGTGGTTGCTCTCGGCGAGGTTGGCGACGGGACTCTGGTGACAGTTCGCGCTGGTAACGACGAGAACTGTTGCGCGGAATTGCGAAACTCTACCGCGCTCATGAAAAATCAAGTCGCTAAATTTAACGACCTTAGATTCGTCGGCAGAAGCGGCAGGGGTAAGTTTACTCTAATTATTATTTATTCTTTTTTTTTTGTTTGTTTCTCTTCTTTAAAAGCTGCTTAAACGTATTTTTCATAAAAAGATATTTCGTGTTTAATGGTGCGTCGCGTGTAACATCGCGCGGTTGCAAAAGAAATGTATTAACGTTTCAATTATCCTTCTGGAAACAATTTATACTACTGGCTTTGATCATATTGAAGTTCAGAAGAGAAATCTGCAGCGCTGCGTAGGAGGACGGGCAAAAGCGCGTGCTGCGATTTCCAGTCCTCTAAAATCACGGTTATTGTAATCATCATCATCGTGCTACCCTTGTTCATCCCCGTGCGTCCCCATTCGCGAGTTCCCGCTCTCCTGCCACCCCCAGAGTCATTACTCGATGTCTGCCGCAAGCCCCAACCAAGCATTCGAAACAACTGGCCGTTAATCAGAAATCATCCAACGGATATAGACGGATATAGACGGAGAGGATGACTTGCCAAAATCAACCAACGTTGCCGATCAACGCTCCTGACTCGTTTAATTTTCGAACCTAATTTTCTATTCCCCCGCGGCTTTTTCTCCGTGCGGATATTAACTAATGAAAACATTTGAGTAAACATTGATTAAATCGTAACGAAAAGCAACGTTAACGTAAATGCTCTTTCTTTTTTTCTTTCTTTCTAATAATCCACTGATGTAATTAAAATGTAATAAAAAGATAGATATATATATGTGTGTGTGTGTGTGTGTGTGTGTGTGTGTGTGTGTGTGTGTGTGTGTGTGTGTGTGTGTGTGTGTGTGTGTGTGTGTGTAC